AAAAAAAAAAAAAAAAAAAAGGACAGAGTGTCACTCTGTCACCCAGGCTAGAGCGCTAAGGCATCATCACAGCTCACAGCAACCTCAAATTCCTGGCCTTAAGCAATCCTCTTGCCTTGGCCTTACAAGTAGCTGGGACTACAGGCACCCGTCACAACGTCACCCAGCTAGTTTTTCTATTTTTGATAGAGACATGGTTTTGCTGTAGCTCAGGCTGGTCTAAAATTTCTGACCTCAAGTGTTCCTCCTGCCTCAACCTCCCAGAGTACTAGGATTACAGGGCTCAGTCATAGTGCCTGGCCTTGAGGCCCTTCTCAAATGTGTCCCTGAATACCCTAGTCCTGTTGCAGGAAGACGAGGCCAAACGGAGAGAAAGGACACCCAAACACCATGTTTATAAGCATTCTATGCTGTAAGCTTCCAGCTTTATTTACCGGCCGGGAGCTTATAGCATAGAAGAATTCCAAATGGCCCTACTCCTCGACTGGCTTGGTCTTTCTCTTTTTATCTCTAGTCAAAAAGTTCCAACTTTGGCTCGGCGCCTGTGGCTCAAGTGGCTAAGGCACCAGCCACATACACCTAAGCTGGTGGATTTGAATCCAGCCCGGGCCTGCCAAACAACAGCTGCAATCAAAAAATAGCGGAGCATTGTGGCAGACACCTGTAGTCCCAGCTATTTGGGACCCAGAGGCAGGAGAATCATTTGAGCACAGGAGGTGGAGGTTGCTGTGAGCTGTGATGCCATAGCACTCTACCCAGGGCGACAGCTTGAGGCTCTGTCTAAACAAAAAAAGTTCTTGGCCGGCCCCTGTAGCTCAGTGAGTAGGGTACCGGCCCCATATATTGAGGGAGGGTGGCAGGTTCAAACCCGGCCCGGCCAACCTGCAACAACAACAAAAAAATAGCCAGGTGTTGTGGCAGTTGCCTGTAGTCCCAGCTACTTAGGAGGCTGAGGCAGGAGAATCACCTAAGCCCAGGAGTTGGAGGTTGCTGAGGGCGATAAAGTGAGACTCTGTCTCTAAAAAAAAAAAAAGAGTTCCAAACCATAGGTACCTTTCTCATTGCCTAGTTTGAATTAAGTGGGAGATTCTTTTTTTTTTTTTTTTTTTTTTTTTGAGACAGAGCCTCAAGCTGTCCCCCTGGGTAGAGTGCCGTGGCATTACAGCTCACAGCAACCTCCAACTCCTGGGCTCAAGCGAGTCTCCTG